AATTTTTTTATTTTTCACCAAATTATATATTTTCTACAATTTTACTTTCTCAATGAAATATATATTTTTTGAATTTTTATTATTTTCTTTGTTTTTCTTCAATTAATCTTTTTTATTTGAGATATATAATTTTTACAAAGATTTTATCATTTGATGTATTTTTCTGCAATTCTGATTTTTTTGATGAAATATATTTTTTATTTTTTTCATTTTTTATGTTTTTAAAATATTTTCTTTTTGCTAAAATGTATAATTTTTTAATTTTTATCTATGTTTGTGTTTTCTGCATATTTTTTCTATGTTTTGAAAAAAAAAATGTTGAGTGTGGTGGGTAAGCGAGTCAATATGGGTGAGTTAGGATGGATGAGGTTCAGGGTGGGTTGTGACCCACTAAGATGCTTAAATATGGGTGTCAGATGGGTTATTGGGTAAATATGGATGGGCTCAACCCTCTTTTTTTTTTTTTTTTTTGAAAGGTAAAAAGTGAAATTTTATTGTAAAAGGAAAAAAAAAAAAAAAAAACTGATTACAAGCAAATAGAGAGTTAAGAAAACACCTAATCCAACTACAAAAGACAACAGAAATGCCAAAGGCAGTGATTGCCAAGGCAAGGAACCACCACCTAAGACACTTCCCCATCTCATTATCTGCTAAACATCTCTTCAAATACTTATTGCCCATCATCTTCCTCATTCCACACCTCTCCCCTTCCCCTAATGTGGCCTTCATTTTCTCTTTCCTCTTACTTCTTTCAAAAGCTTCGAATGCCTTTCTGGCAAACTCCTCACACCCCAATAGAACAGTCCTAAGCTCGTGCCAACCATAACAGTCCTGTCAGCCAAACTCTCAATTTCTGCTTTTCCCCATTCTCCTCCTTTCTCCCTGGCTGGCACTCCACAAGGCTCTTCTCACCCGCTTTACCACTCTCCTTCTCCTTTCCCCCCGTGGCCCTAGCCAACCCACTGATCCTCCTTCCTCAGAAGTCAACAGTTGCTCCCCTTCCGAGGCCTGAGACTCACCTTATCGCCTCTCCTCAACCTTCTTCCTCAAACCTTTGTTTTTTATTCTTTTCTCTTGTATACTCTTTTGCATTTATAGGTAGGGCCACTCCAACCAGTCTGTCTTTTAACCTTGAAAAAACTTTTGATACGTGAACAATATGAGACTTACTTGTTTCTCTAGCTTTCTTCAACACTGCTGGAATGATGTCCACACCATCCTTACTCAAAGATCTTCTTCAACCAAAATCGACGCAGAGCCTACCAACTGGGACTTCAAATTTAGAAAATCCTCCTGACATACAGATAAACCAATCTCCTCTTCTCCGTCCGCAACAACTGCCAAGCAATTGGCTTCCGATCTCTTGTCCACACCCCTAACAACGACCTCCTCTTCCGACCTTCCTTCTTGGACTTCCCCTTCTCCCCTTGCATATTCTATCACCCCTTCCCCCTGGTCCATCTCACTACCCTCCTCCCTCTCTGGCCCTGCAATCCCTTGGTCCACCGCAACCAAACTCCCCACTTGAGACGATTCAGGGAAGACCTCAACAACAAAAGAACCAAAAGAACTTACCCTCACCCAACCCACCCATTTGCCACCCCCATACATAGTGCTTATGATAAGAGGTTTGGTCATTTCGTGAGTTTTGTATAGGTGTGGGGTACCTTGTAACTTCTGTGTATACTTTTTCTCTTCTTAAAATTTTTCTTTTAATATAAAAAATGGAAGAAAGAACTAGTTCAATTAAAGATGCAGGAAATATTAAAAAGAAAGTATAACCATAACCTCTAGAGAGAACATAACCAAGATACCTTTCTTTACAATCTGAGTCACTGTTGATGCAGATTCTCCTTCCTGCCCTGAAAAAAAAATCATAAAAATCACATTGTAATAAACAATTAAAAGTCTTTGTGGAAGACAAATACATGAGAATTGACTATTCAGAACAAAAGCCAATACTATGGGGCATGCACCTACCCTCAAAATTGATAGGAATATACACAAAAGCCAAGCGCCGGCCTACATCTTCTTTGGTCAGAGCATACTCAGCAGTACCGGTGGATACCAAAATGAAATCACTGCCAGGAAGTGCCATATAAAAAGAAAGAAAAAAGTTGTGAAAATAAGTGGGAAAAAAAGGAAAGAAGAAAACTAATTTAAAACTAGAAAATTATCAAAGTTTTAAAAATGAAAGGTGTAGATTTTCACCTTTTCCATGGAGGATATGGAAGAATAGAAATGCCACAGTTATTAACAACAAGAAATTGGATCACCAAATTAGTGACTACAAGAGTGGCAGATTGTCTCAAACTTTATCTCACCTGTGGGAACCCCCTTGGATCCGAATTGGGATTTTGGCTTTCGTAGGGGGTTAAGGGGTGAGGAGATTGATTCCCTCTCTAATTTGATTTGTCTTTTAAATCAGTTTTGTTTGGATCCTTCTAAGCCAGCCTTGATCTGGACAATCTGGGAAGAAAGGACCGCTAGAATATTCCAAGAGAAGGAGGGGAATAGTCAGGATTTAAAGGATTGTGTGTTGAATAGGGCAATACATTGGTTAAAGACCATGGAACTGTTCCATCAATTCTCCTTTATAGATTTATGGAGAAATTGGTTAGCAATAGAAAGGTGTTCATCCAGTAAGACTAGGGCAGTAACAAGATGGATCCCACTGCATGAAGGCTCACTTGAAGCTGGATTTTGATGGGAGCAGTCAAGGTAATCCAAGACGCTCTGGAATTTGGGGGGGGGG